CAAACCGGCTACAATCGGTGTATTAGCGTGTCACGTGATACAATTAAATATGCTATAAACAACATTCAGCATATGGTGCATATCTCCACGCGGGCTACCTGTAATTAACGCATTGGAGAGATTCTAAGTTATGTGATACCTTGCACCTCTGTGAACGCTCCGGCTGGATGGGGTTAGAGGGCGAATGTCGGATGTTCATGAGGGTGGCGTTTAGCACGTGTTGCTGGACCCACATTCTTAGATTATGGTAATCGATCTCAGGGCTATGTTAATCAATGTTTTCTGTTTTCGTTTTAATTAACTGTTATGTTGATATGTGTTTCCAAAATGTGTTAATGTATTAACGTTGCTGAAAAATAATTAGCAGTTAGGGCGATAACTTTCCGGAATGGAAACTGATAGGGGAGAGACGTATATCAAGCTAAATGCTTTGATAATATATTTTTAAAAGCTTTTCGAATATCAATTCCAAGCGCTAATGATATACATGTATGTGTTATACAAGGGTGAGGAATATTGCATCTGATGATGGTGATATGGTTCTGAATACTTCACATTCATCATGACCAGACTTCCTAGTAAAACCCCGTTAATCAAGATTATACATTTTCATGTGACATTATAAGTAAGCAACTTACAAATTGCTGATCAGTTGATGTTGACTATTGTTTTTTTGTATACATTAGAGCGTTATCAACATGATTTGTACGGATTGTGAGGTTTCCGAAATGTCGGGGTGATGTATGGTGCATGCTGTTTTGGGTTGAATTGCCAAATGGTGCTTATCCTTCCTAGAATATATCTCGAATGTTATATGCAAAACAAAGACAAAGACGAAAACGACGATTCATTTCGGGTTCAGCTTGTTCACATTATGTCCTGTCTTTTTTAGACACACAGAAGAGTTAGTTGTCGAGATAATCTATGGTCAATTTAAAGTAATCTGTTTACAGCTCGGTTCTCTAATGTGCCTAACCGCTGTTGTTGGATGATGTATTTTAGTAGAGTCCTGTCTGACCAGATTAACTCGGCACTGGGAGCGTACACTCTTCTGTCGTGTCACAACTGGTTTATAGTGTTTTAATCCCCAAAGACACTAACACTGACACTATACTCCTAGTTTCATTACTGCTTAATCCAACTCCATTTGTCTCCGAAACAAGATGCTAAAATTGGTTGAATTCCATCAGTCCATGTACAAACACTACTAGCCACTACAGTTGGTAGATTCATACGCTCTAGGCACCATACGGTATAGACAGACATTTAGTGAGTGAGTGAGATAAAATTTAAAGTCACATCGGCGGTATTTCAGCCAAATAGTGACGACACAGGTGCATGTTTGACAGATTATTAATGATTCTTCTGTCATTTATTAATACAGCACTAATGGCGACGGTTAACATCTGTAATAATAAATAGGAAAAAGTTTGACGTTATTTTATCATTGTTATACTTTTCTTGTTTATGTTAAAGAACTCGTAGAAAGAGCTTGAAAACCCCACCCAGGTAATTAATATGACACCTTTTTTTCAATAAGAATCATATTTTTAATAGTTGATAATAATTATATATATTTGTTGCAAACGGATGGATTATGAACTAAGGTTTCCTTTTAACATGGAATATACATTGAGGCAGGGATTTACAGGATAAATTAGTGAACGTTAAATATGAACAATTGTCTTGGGTGCATATCTAGTCAGAGTTGTTCATATTGGTTCATTCAGTTTATACTTTATGACGGGCAGTAAATGATAGAACGTATTTTCAACTGTTTGCAACGTACACCATTTCACAATCTGCAGTGGCGCGATGAGGTGAGTGTATTTACCTGTTTTACCTGAGGTGAAACGAGACTTCATATAACATATTTTATTTATAGTTTTTTCCACAAGGTATGAGTATACTTTCTTTTTATCAGGGCATCGTGAACATACAGAGCAATATTTTGGAATAGTTTGGTATTTCTTGTAGAACGTAGTAATGCTATATTAAAAAGAAGGAAGGATAGGTATAGTTCAGGGGATACACATTTTGGCTAATTCACAATATCTCTTATATATGAGGGAAATTCATCTTCGGCAATCGTAAGTAGACAAAATGTGGAGGTGTTTGTCTTTCCATGTAAAGTGCCTTTATAAAACATAAGCCTTCATGGTATCACGAGTTTTCACGAGGAAAATCGTCTACAAGAACTCTCCAACAAATGGTATAACTTTCGAAATTCAAATGTACATGTAAAAATATTTCAATAAATCGTTTATAAAAGTTTAATATTTATCCGCATTTAAAATTTCTGCTCTATGCATGTAGTTACACCTGTTTTCAGTTTTTTTGTGTGCAGAGGGACACATAAGAAATTAGCCAAAGAAAGGATATAGAAAATCTAAAGAAACTGAAAGGGAAACGCAATTTCTTTACAAAGATTGAGCACGTACTGGTGTAAGTTCGCCTTTGCTGTTCCCTTATTTGTCAATGTCTCATCTCACCCTGACGAACACGTGTACATGGGTAGACTCACATTACTCCCGTCCGGCACCCCCACATACACATCATAGGGTGTCGGGCCAATTACGCCGGCCACCCTAAGATTACTTTCAAGTCTCATCGAAAGTATAATTGGAGAGAATTAGCGTAACAGCTTACTTGCACTGTACAACAGTATCCGTCCCTGGCCACAAACAACCAACGAAACTTTCAAACACTTTCATTTTATCGGGGAAATATCTTTTTCCAACTCAATGAAAACGATTTAGCGAGCGTGGTTATTTTTTAAATGACGTTTTCGTTTTAAAGTTGGTATGTTCACAATGATAGGCAGATAGTCGGATTTCAAGGTTCTAGTGTTCAGTGAAGAGTGAGTTCACACTTGGAGTTAACGATATGTATCTCAGAAGAGTCTCTTACAATTGGAATTTTCAACACACAGTGATGTAGAGAGAAGATTTGACACCTTGAAATGTTTATGTTAGGAGATGATTTATTTAGTGCGAGTTTTCATAAGCACGAGCCATCTTTAGAATATCGTATGTATGATCGGTTATGGCGCATTAATCTTCAAAAGACCAGGCGTTGAGTTTTTCTGGGCAGGAATCCTTATTTCCTGTGTGATGCGAGGTGAACGTGGGGCTCTGTTATACAACATGGATTAAGTATATTTGAAAACCAGTGTGATTACCAATGAACCGCACAACTGTTAAGAAGGAGCTTAGGTGAACTCGTGTTAAATGCCGACATAAAGAGTCTCGTGCACTCACGAGGAGTCGTGGGCAGCGAGAGAGTCTGCGAGTATGGAAGCACGGGGGTATATTTGCCTGCTTCCTGTCAGCAGATACGGTTCGGGAACATCTCGATGTATCAACCACTGACAGCTAATTATTGCTTTGTCATTGTAAAACTAGAAACATCTACAGAGAATTAACATATTCTTTTACAAGGAATATGGGAACGGAAGCGAAATACTGATGAAGAAAAGAAGTTTCATCTGGAATGCATCTGTATGGTGTGCACGCAACGTTTGTGTGTGTGTGTGTGTGTGTGTGTGTGTGTGTGTGTGTGTGTGTGTGTGTGTGTGTGTGTGTGTGTGTGTGTGTGTGTGTGTGTAGAAGACACAAACTGAAAGGATACATTTGCCATAGTGAATATCCATATATATTTTAAAAATTCAGAAATGTGTATGAACAATAATGTCATCATTGTCAATATGAACATTTGGATCAAATGTTATACATAAACTGTCGGGCAAATGAAAGTATGTATGGATGTTCAATGGTGGCTAAAAATTATACAAACAAGAAATGGTTTTTCGAGGGTGATGTATTTTATACGGGAATCATGGATGTGTTGTGGACCTTCAGTTTGCAGTGTTTCGGCCTAGTAATGTTTTGATAACTTTTGCAATGTTTTGGTCAAATCATTTTTTAAGTGTATGCTTTCTTTTGGCCGCCAGTTTACAAATGTGCTTCTTATGTATCTGACGTAAGATATCAGACTATGACTGAGTAGTTTCAAAAGGGCTAATTGATCTAAATGTTTCAATAAAGTCAGGAAAGAAGAATCGTAGGGATTGGTTTTAGGCCATTAAACGAGCAATAACTCAACAATTGGTGAGAAACTAATCCTGGCTGTTCAGTGACAGAACGAGAATGTTGGGAAAACGTTGTGATGGAACATTAGTTAGCTAATGGAAAGTGTGGGAACTTGCGTTACCCTCCGATGTGCCACAGTTTACGGGAACTGTCATTGCGATATTACACGTTTAATATTGGGGTAGCGCCGTGGTTTGGCCTGGGGGAGCAGTCATTATCGCGTGGTAATCACAACTGATCAGTGCTTGTCGACTGATGATAAATGTTGCTTCTAGAAGCAACAAAGACTGGGCCCTCCCCAATTGGACTTCTCGACTTCCGTGTGATGGGAGACAATGGCAGCTCCGCGGCAAATGTCGAGACCCGGGGAAACATGCTATTAAAGGAACTCATTCGTTGAGTAGAGAAATAAAGTTACCACTGGCACACAAAAAGAAGATCATACTTTGGCGACACACGAGATTTAAGGGAAGTAAGAATGTACAAATTGACAAACGACATGATCATCTGAAGACATAAGCAAGCTTCTCGATTGTGTAGTTTATGGGGGACAGGGGATTGTTTAACCGACATCTCCACGTCATTTCAGTTGAACCTCCTCGCACTAATGATGTGATCAAAATGTCACTTCACCTAATGAGTCTCATCTTACAGGCTAAAATACCCGTATGACCAACTGATAATAACAATTATGTCACTCAAATATAATTTATTGCCAAAAGCCCTTTTTCCTTTATTATGATGGAGCTTAGAGATTTCCCAGCAAAGATACGTGCACCAGTGATGAACTGCTATCCGTATCGTAAACATAACGTAATATGAGTACATTCATACAGTCGTGTAAACACGGTCTGAGGACGAACTGGTCATGCGTGAGAAGACAGAGTATTCATGACACCAAGTGAACTTCTAGTTCATAAACACTGAGCTTTCTTTATGAGGTACGGAGCCCCGCATTAAATCTTCGGAAGGTAGAGTTGGGTAGGGGGTGGTTGTAGGGGCGGGAAGGGTATGGATGAGGGATAGAGGTGGGGGTGAGGGATGGAGGTATTGTTTGGGGTGAAGTAGGGATGAGGAGTGGAGGTGGGAGTGAGGGATGGAGGTATTGTTTTGGGGTGAAGTAGGGATGAGGAGTGGAGGTGGGGGTGAGGGATGGAGGTATTGTTTGGGGTGAAGTAGGGATGAGGAGTGGAAGTGGGGGTGAGGAATGGAGGTATTGTTTGGGGTGAAGTAGGGATGAGGAGTGGAGGTGGGGGTGAGGGATGGAGGTATTGTTTGGGATGAAGTAGGGATGAGGAGTGGAGGTGGGGGTGAGGGATGGAGGTGGGGGTAATGGATGGAGGTATTGTTTGGGGCGAAGTAGTGATGTGGAGTGGAGGTGTGGGTGAGGGATGGAGGTATTGTTTGGGGTGAAGTAGTGATGAGGAGTGGAGGTGGGGGTGAGGGATGGAGGTATTGTTTGGGGTGAAGTAGGGATGAGGAGTGGAGGTGGGGGTTAGGGATGGAGGTGGGGGTAATGGATGGAGGTATTGTTTGGGGCGAAGTAGTGATGTGGAGTGGAGGTGTGGGTGAGGGATGGAGGTATTGTTTTGGGGTGAAGTAGGGATGAGGAGTGGAGGTGGGGGTGAGGGATGGAGGTATTGTTTGGGGTGAAGTAGGGATGAAGAGTGGAGGTGGGGGTGAGGGATGGAGGTATTGTTTGGGGTGAAGTAGGGATGAGGAGTGGAGGTGGGGGTGAGGGATGGAGGTGGGGGTAATGGATGGAGGTATTGTTTGGGGCGAAGTAGTGATGTGGAGTGGAGGTGTGGGTGAGGGATGGAGGTATTGTTTTGGGGTGAAGTAGGGATGAGGAGTGGAGGTGGGGGTGAGGGATGGAGGTATTGTTTGGGGTGAAGTAGGGATGAGGAGTGGAGGTGGGGGTGAGGGATGGAGGTATTGTTTTGGGGTGAAGTAGTGATGAGGAGTGGAGGTAGGGGTGAGGAATGGAGGTATTGTTTGGGGTGAAGTAGGGATGAGGAGTGGAGGTGGGGGTGAGGGATGGAGGTATTGTTTTGGGGTGAAGTAGTGATGAGGAGTGGAGGTAGGGGTGAGGAATGGAGGTATTGTTTGGGGTGAAGTAGGGATGAGGAGTGGAGGTGTGGGTGAGGGATGGAGGTATTGTTTTGGGGTGAAGTAGTGATGAGGAGTGGAGGTAGGGGTGAGGAATGGAGGTATTGTTTGGGGTGAAGTAGTGATGAGGAGTGGAGGTGGGGGTGAGGGATGGAGGTATTGTTTGGGGTGAAGTAGGGATGAGGAGTGGAGGTGGGGGTGAGGGATGGAGGTATTGTTTGGGTGAAGTAGGGATGAGGAGTGGAGGTGGGGGTGAGGGATGGAGGTATTGTTTGGGGTGAAGTAGTGATGAGGAGTGGAGGTGGGGGTGAGGGATGGAGGTATTGTTTGGGGTGAAGTAGTGATTAGGAGTGGAGGTGGGGGTGAGGGATGGAGGTATTGTTTGGGGTGAAGTAGGGATGAGGAGTGGAGGTGGGGGTGAGGGATGGAGGTATTGTTTGGGGTGAAGTAGTGATTAGGAGTGGAGGTGGGGGTGAGGGATGGAGGTATGGATGGGAGGTTGGGTGAGTGATGGAAGTAGTGGTGGGGCTGAGGGGTAGTTGGACGTAAAGGGAGTCCTAAAATGTAGTCCCGCCTGCAAGCATGTTTTCGTAAACTCATGGACAAAATAGAAACTTAATTTAATGCATTAGGCTAATGTATTACAGATGCAGAACAATAAGGCTTTCTACAGGAGACTTAAGGTGTGCTCTGTAATGCATCTGGTGCGATAAACGGAATATGTATTTCACAAAATGTATCACATCACATGTACAATAGTTATGAAAGCCTATCATGTACAGTAATGACGCGCTTGTACTATGGATCTAACTAAGAATAATTCATATGTACCAATATGATGTGTGTTAATGTTCAAACAGTACAATCAATTATTATACAATAAAAACAAGCGACAGAACCCTTTCCATAATCATAAGAAATCTCTGCTAAAAGCAGAGTCCGACTGTATCATGAGCATGTGTTTATGAATCACTCTCAAATATATATACCAAGCGTTGCCCTACCGGATGCACCCGTCACAAACACATGCAAAGGCAAGTTAATTGTCAACCCCAAGCAGCACAGGAACAAATGATACAAGTCAAAATAGGGAATCAATTTTGGAAAAGTCATTCACTTGTCTACCATTATGTATTTTTGAAAGCTTTACTGGTGCCATAAATTTAATGTTGTAACCCTGGCCAAACAGGTTTTGAGCAAGAGTCGTTTGACGCTGTAAAGCGATTGTACCTCAAGAGTTGTGTAACGTAGACACCAAAGGCTAGATATTGTTCGACATGAAGGGACAGATGACTATTGGAAAGTTGAAGTGATCCCTCTTGTCATACAGTCTTGTGGGGAATGGTTTGTTACTCTGAATCTTTATGAATAGATCTAAATATGAAACAGACGAGGCGGCCTAACTGGTCTTTTTTATTTCTAATTCAGGTTGGTATATCAGTGGCAATGTCCAATGAGTACTTTACACTACGTTATGTACAATATAAGAAATATTAAATGCAGCAGCAGAGTAGAGTACAGGTAATATACATAAAGGTATATCATACGCCATGTATATCACATCCAATGGCCGGTGTATCGTACACGTGTACAGTTAAATGCACCCATGTGGTGGTATGTTGTACGCTATTAATTCTACCGTGCTACTGTGTTTCTCGGTCTCATTGTAAAAATCCTGCAAATTGTTTGTGTTGAATTCTACATGTTTCACGTAGTTTTCGTGCGAGTTAATGATGGAGACTAATGCCGATCGTAAATGATTCGATAAGCTATCTCTTTATGAGGCAGTTCAGTTTGACCAGATTATCCAATACATGCGCGGAGTGGCAGGCAGGTGTAATTGGAATCACTGGTAATTACACCACGGTCCTGGCGATACGAGAGTTTGACACTTCCGTGTACTATCATACAATACTGACTACTGATACCAGTTTGATGCTGGCCACTGACCCTCCCCTATCTCAGCGCTTCGAATAACGTCAATCACAGCCCTGGGAGATAGTGCCAGTATATCTACTCCGTACACATGCGCTGGTATTTCAATTCAGTGGATGATGCTGTTTGGTAAATTGTCACACATGACTTACACCAGACTCAGTCTCTGAAAATATATCATTATGATAGAAACAAGTAACGATATACATTCAAATTGAAAAGGAGACCCAGTGAATGGGAGTTTCAGAGCCTGTGGCAAATCTAGACTTGGTTCAATTATGTTTATAGCATAACAGTAAGGGTAGACGAAAGGAAAATATGGTTCGGGGACTGTGAGATAGACTACGTCGTGCACAAAAAGACACTGACATATAGGAACATGATTGGTGAACATTAATGCAAGGTTACAATGGGCTGAAGTGAAGTGGTTGGTGTTGGCATTGGTTGTAACGGACATAACCATCATCAACGTGACTTAATTACATACTCATCAGACAAGCGCATCTACTTACATGAACGCACGAACATTTCAGCACACACGGGTATAATGGTGTTGTAGGATTATGAATGAGAACAGGTATATTATGTGGCCATATGGGTGCGGTGTTGAACAGGGATATTGTGTGGCCATATGGGTGCGGTGTTGAACAGGGATATTGTGTGGCCATATGGGTGCGGTGTTGAACAGGGATATTGTGTGGCCACATGGGTGCGGTGTTGAACAGGTATATTGTGTGGCCATATGGGTGCGGTGTTGAACAGGTATATTGTGTGGCCATATGGGTGCGGTGTTGAACAGGGATATTGTGTGGCCATATGGGTGCGGTGTTGAACAGGTATTTTATGTGGCCATATGGGTGCGGTGTTGAACAGGTATATTGTGTGGCCATATGGGTGCGGTGTTGAACAGGGATACTGTGTGGCCATATGGGTGCGGTGTTGAACAGGTATATTGTGTGGCCATATGGGTGCGGTGTTGAACAGGGATATTGTGTGGCCATATGGGTGCGGTGTTGAACAGGGATATTGTGTGGCCATATGGGTGCGTTGTTGAACAGGGATATTGTGTGGACACATGGGTGCGGTGTTGAACAGGGATATTGTGTGGCCATATGGGTGCGGTGTTGAACAGGGATATTGTGTGGACATATGGGTGCGGTGTTGAACAGGGATATTGTGTGGCCATATCACGAAATCAGGGACTTTTAAGCAATTAACTTTTTAAAACCTTTTTAATAAAACATTTAATCGGACCTTACTGTAAAGATATTTTTTTATATATCAAAAAAGGAAAAAGACAACAACAAAATTATTTTCTATTTTATAAACACAGAGTCTTTTTGTTAGGACGTGGTGCCGTAAACATACCGACACAGGAGATTGTACACGTGAAGCGATTCTCCAACAGATAGTTATGTGCATAACGAACAAATATAATAACTGGCGAAATATGTTCAAATGAAGTGAAGTATTATCCTTTAACACAACTAACGCTTCAACTTTCAATTATTTGACTTATGAAGGAATTCCGGTAGCATTGATATTGGAACAAGGTGATCCAGATTGATTAGACTGCCCTGCCGAGCCTGAAAACTTATGATGACATTCTCTCCTGTCAATTATGTTTGTAAAGACAATTTAACTATTTTTTTCCCTTAACTTTTTTATTTCAGAATAATTTTTTTAACATTTTGATGTATACTACGAAGATAAGGACCACATTATTCTTTCATATTACTATAGTTCATTCCTTGACAAATTAACTATAGTAATATGAAGGAACAGGGTGATCCTGAAATTCTTTTAAGTCGTATATTTTTGGGTATTATTAGTCTCATGTTCTACCGTTCTACATATTTTGCGAGAATACACGAGTTGGGATGGGGGTTTGGATAAAGGGTTTGGCAATGGCCGACAGTGACGTTTATGTATGGTCGATAAATTGATTCGTTGATGAACAGAGATAGTACATGAGCAAAACAGATGTTAATATTTCAAGTACATGTAAATAAGAGCGACAAAAACATTTCTATAACCAACAAAAATATCTACTAAAAGAAAAGTCCATGAGCATGTGTTTATGAATCACAATAAAATAGTGATGATACCAGGTGCTCGCGAAAAGGTGAGCGGATCCTGTCCTACCAGTGGCACCCGTCACAAACACATGCAAAGGCAAGTCAAATGTTCATCTGAAAACAACATGGGGAACATATGACATAAGACAAGGATATAATCTATACATTTCGTTTTCAACGCCAGCGAATCAGTAAGGAAGGCGGTTTAAAACAGATATGAACTCCTGATATAACTTGGAATCAGTGTGTGAAACCACTGTATCATATTTTGAGTGATGGGAAATGTAGAGCACTGTTATTCGACTCGATATAATTATATTGCTTCATATTTTCCTCTACAGCTAGATGACTAACGTTATGATGTAAAATGGAAGTATCGCTCTCTGACAAAGATCTGACAGAATTGTATAATTAACAGCCATTGATTCATCCACTTATTTCAACATCAATGACGTAATTTGAAGCGCATGCTAATCTATTAAATGAACAGAAAACTGATATGTGGAAGAATATTATAACAACCCGTGCATAAATATGCGCATTAGTGAGAGGTAATTAAGCAGATGGTCTGAATGTTATAATATGTAAATATTGAAAGAAGCCGATGAACATGGTGACGTGTATTAACAGAGTATTCAATCATTTTCTATTTGATATAGAATTATTTAACATTAAATGATAATTACCATACGTTATCATGAATACACCTTTGTGTATGTGTACGGTTACAACCTGATCGGCAAATGCTTGCCGAGTGCATTCCATCCTGATCGGTCGAATTGGTGTGCCTGGCTCACAACCTTACCCTCAAGCCAGACGTGTTTCAGACTGACTTTGAAAAGGCCCCGCCAATGCCGCTATTTCAGTGTTTGAAGACGTTCGGCTTAGAGGTCGGTTTTTTCATTATGCTAAGGCACTGTGGATGAAAAGTCAGAGCTAAGGACTCGTCACCAGGTTTAAAGAAGATGAAGAATTCCGGCGACTGTCAAAGTGTAGCAAGTCTCTTCCTTCAGTGCCTCTTGACCAAGTGGAGGATGTATGGGTCGACATCATGGGTCCAGAGGGAGGACTGGTTGTGAAGTACTTAGACTACATAGGTACTTCTTGGATTGAAAGTCCCTGGCATAGACTTACCTGGAACCACTGTGCCAATACGGTCACAGGACCAACAGCATCATTGAAGGGTGGCACCATAAAATGAACCCCCTGACATAGTACCATCCCTATATATATGACGTTATAACCATGAAAAAGAGAGAACCCTCTAGCAGTGAGGAAAAAGATGGCTCACGTTATCGGACACAGGCGTGAACCAGCGAGGAGAAGGCAATACATCTCTGTGGATCAAAGTATGAGAAGAAGGAAAGATTGACTCAGAAGTTTGAGATTACTACCATGGACTACACGGATTCCGCTGCTAACTTGCTGGACGTGTGGGATTGAACTTTCCATACATATGAAAAGTGTGATCCTATGAACTTCTAGGTGCTAAACATCCAACATTATCTTTTGACTTTCATTTCATCCCTTATTATTTTAATTATTATTTATGTATTCTACGATTTTTAACTATTAACTTGTATTAAACTTTTGTTGTTGTCTTTACGCCCCTTAATCCTATGAACTTCTAGGTGCTAAACATCCAACACTATCTTTTGACTTTCATTTCATCCCTTATTATTTTAATTATTATTTATGTATTCTACGATTTTTAACTATTAACTTGTATTAAACTTTTGTTGTTGTCTTTACGCCCCTTAATCCTATGAACTTCTAGGTGCTAAACATCCAACACTATCTTTTGACTTTCATTTCATCCCTTATTATTTTAATTATTATTTATGTATTCTGCGATTTTTAACTATTAACTTGTATTAAACTTTTGTTGTTGTCTTTACGCCCCTTAATCCTATGAACTTCTAGGTGCTAAACATCCAACACTATCTTTTGACTTTCATTTCATCCCTTATTATTTTAATTATTATTTATGTATTCTACGATTTTTAACTATTAACTTGTATTAAACTTTGTTGTTGTCTTTACGCCCCTTAATCCTATGATCTTTGGACTTTCATTTCATCCCTTATTATTTTAATTATTATTTATGTATTCTACGATTTTTAATTATTAACTTGTATTAAACTTTTGTTGTTGTCTTTACGCCCCTTAATCCTATGATCTTTGGACTTTCATTTCATCCCTTATTATTTTAATTATTATTTATGTATTCTACGATTTTTAATTATTAACTTGTATTAAACTTTTGTTGTTGTCTTTACGCGCCTACCATACAAACAGTGAACTCCTCTGATGGTGCTGATCTGTCGAATGTGCTTGAATATACAGTACCGATCGGTCGAACACCATTTTCTTATTCTTAAACATATATTTGACCCCCAGGATGACACCGTATAAGTGTGGAGACGTATTAAAACAGCACAGCGGCCATACCAGCATGATGGATTCCACGCAATAACATGATTGGGGAAATACAGTCCCAGTTGTCATCTCTACCAAACGCACTGCCCACAACCTGCGTACAACCAACCCATCGATGAACACAAGGCACATCATGCAAGTGAAAGCGTGAGTGTTTACATACTGATAGTGTACGTATAAACCATCGATGAACACAAGGCACATCATGCAAGTGAAAGCGTGAGTGTTTACATACTGATAGTGTACGTATAAACCATCGATGAACACAAGGCACATCATGCAAGTGAAAGCGTGAGTGTTTACATACTGATAGTGTACGTATAAACCATCGATGAATGAACACAAGGCACATCATGCAAGTGAAAGCGTGAGTGTTTACATACTGATAGTGTACGTATAAACCATCGATGAACACAAGGCACATCATGCAAGTGAAAGCGTGAGTGTTTACATACTGATAGTGTACGTATAAACCATCGATGAACACAAGGCACATCATGCAAGTGAAAGCGTGAGTGTTTACATACTGATAGTGTACGTATAAACCATCGATGAACACAAGGCACATCATGCAAGTGAAAGCGTGAGTGTTTACATACTGATAGTGTACGTATAAACCATCGGACACATGGACGAAGTTAGAAGAGAAGAGAACAGGAGCTGATGCACCGTGGACAGAAGATGATATTTGTGATATTTATGACCCTTCCCAAGAGACTTTCATATTACGGGATGTCCTTCCCCTGACTTCCTCTGACCCACCCACCCTTATAACCCTTAGTCCTGAAAAATGATCACTTATCATGTTCATATGTATCACTTCCTACTAGCCGACAGTCCCAAGAAATACCATCCCATTTGAGGACTCCTTGTTTGAAAAAAGTTAAGAGACAAATTTACACATAATGTTACACTAAAGTCATATTTGCATTTCCATAACATTTTTAAACTATGGGCATGTGATTCTTATGTATAAATGAAATATGTTTACGTTTTCTTAACAAATATTCGTGGGATACATGCAGAACATACATTTGTACACACTTAAAACTACCTACGGCCAATCGTCCAGTCATTTACGAGAGACAATATATTATTAAAATACTACTAATGAAATATATAACCTTAAAATATCTTGGAAAGATAAAAATATATACGCATATAAAGAAATGTGTAATTTTCAGAAATATTTTGTGAATATCAAAACAACAAAAGTGGATGCACTTGTACATGTATGAAAGCAGATGCTACGCGACAGGTGTCCTATTACCTTTTGCATAATTAGATCATTATACCCTCTACATTTCAGGATTGTCTGGCGTATATGTGAAGATGTTGGTATTCTGTTTGTGTCTATTATTGTGTGATACATATCAAGACAAATTAAATCGCGCGTGTGTGTGTGTGCGTGCGTGCGTGCGTGCGTGTTTGTATGCGTAAGTGTGTATAATGTAATTGCAAGTGTCTAACTGCTTAACGAAATATTAATACATATACTTAAAATACATCATACATGTATATGAGGCTTTGTTACATTAGAACAGCATAGTTTTCAATGCATTGAGGAACAACGATCAGTTGTGGTGGGAACGATGTTTTGTCCAATGAGATGACCACTGCGTTTTATGACAATGCATGACTAATGTGGTAGAAGAAGTAAGATAAATTATTATCCTGTTTTATTTCATACGAAAATGTATCCGATTTATTTTAGGGGTATCCTCCACTGAAACAATAGTCACGATCCAAAATTACAGAGTATGTGCTATCAGTTTCCAAACAAGGCACCAGTAAATACACCAAATGCGATTGTTCTGATTTAACTGTTCCACTTAAACGACTATAAACAACGGGGATTAAACAAAAGCCACATTAAACTATAACTTAAGAATCATTCAGAGCAAGAGCAAGAATAAAAAGAAAAAATGGACATATTGTTTTCAGGTAATGAAATCCAAAACTGTAACTGTCCTAGATATATAAACACCACTCTTTAAAACAAACAATCTACCTTTGTCCGCCACTTTACAGCCGTGTCATTGGAAACCAATACGTAACACCTTCAACGAATGAGTCAATATAAAAATCAGAACCGAGTGTAACTTGACAAAGAAATTAACAATGCCTAATCCTGCCGCCAACAGAGCAATGGTCGATGTTAGACGGGTGGTCTCGTGTTCCTACCCCCCATGGCGAAGGCCATGTTCCTAGTATATCTCCATTGTTAAATGAGTGCACCTAGTAGGGTAATCCCCATCCTTTAAACACGTCGCCAAGTGTTTATATATATGGAAGGGAAGACGCTGAAGAATCTGTGCTAGGCAATAAACAGGTAATAAAGTCCTAATGATGTGCAAATCTATTGTCATGCATGGTAGACAGGGGTATAGAGTCATTTCAATGCGGACTGGAGGCATTGTTGGTTTGTCAGTTTGTCAAAGGGATGCAATGCATCTGGGACTCATTTACCGTCAGTGGAGAGGTGCTGACAAGCTACTCTATGTCAGTTAAGGTCTATAATCCAGTTAGTGTCCAACACAAAGTTATTGCCCGACTGTCCCATGTCTAGCGGTGATGTTCTAACATGTGTCGCGCATGTATCACCAAAAAAGGGGAATGTATAGCGTTAGTTTTTAAATTCCAGTTGCCTTAAGAAGAAATTGGGATATCACATATAGAGGTACATTTGATGTACGGTCACACATAAACACGCAGGCCTTCATCATCAGATATCACAACATTTTTCATTGCGGTTGGAATATTTGGTCATTGACCGAGATTCAAAACATCAGTTGACCTCATAATGTGAGTGAGTTAAAAAATAAGTTTTAACTCACATCGGCAGTATAAGAATCATATTGTGACTATATAACTCAAAAGACCTGAAACACTAATTTGTGAAATTGGATAAACGAATGACATGGTATAACACTAGGAAAGGGTTATTTTCTCAGTTTTGATTCAATACCAGTGCTTTAATCTCATGGATGAATATACTGCATTGGATTTATCGCAAGACTACTGTGGAAGAAGCATCTATCTATGCATGAATACTGGAGTACTTCTCCACGAAGAAGGCAGTTGTATACCGTGCGATGCACCCGTACGTACAATGCACAGCTTTTTTGTATACCACCCGTTACTGCTACCCGTACGTATAATGTGCCTGGGTCGATCATATTCAAACATAATCGAAGTAATACAGTTTAAAGAAAGAGGCGTTGTTTATTCTTTAGAAAGTAGGATTTGATCACGTTAAAGCGGTACTGCAATCATCGTTTCTGCCAAAAGGTCAGGACGAGCGACATAAATAATACTGGATATACCCTGAATATGATCCTGCCTTGGTGAAGGTGCAGAGGCCTGTTCTATTGATGAAATATATTATGTAACAGACAAATGTTGTAGGGAGTTTGACCCTAATATGGGCCATGTCACAATATTGATAAAACATTCTGATACAACAACAGTCAAAAGGTTAGAGGCCACATAGACATGAACTGTTTGAAAAGTAACAATTAAATTGCTCAAATGTGTAATCCGGTATATATTCCACGAGGATGAGCAGTGATCTACCCGTATCTTCAATTTTAACATGAATATACGTAAATTAGGTTTTCCCTTCCGTTTAATAGTGCAGTAGGCTCATATGATGGTTGGCCATGATCTAAATTGGCCTACCCAACTTGTCAAGACAAAGCTAAATTCAGCATCGTGAATCATCTGTCTGAAGAATGAAAACACAATAGGTAATATTGAGTCATAGGTTTTATTTGAAATTCAATCTTTATCACAGGCTTTGTGTTGGATTCATGCAAATGCGACAACGATGATATATTTATAATGACAGCACTGGGTGACAAGTGATCACCAGATCTGGGGAGGTCAATGAACGGGAAAAGGGAGGGTTACGGTTGAGCTGGGGTAGGGCTACGACGGGATTGAGCTAGGGCTGGGTGGGGGTTGGGCTAAAGGGAGGTTTCTTGCGGGGGGTTGGTGGGTGGATGGTGGGAGACTGGGGTTGGTCGAAGAAGGGCATGGTTGAGACTGAGGTGGGTTTGGGCTTAGGAAGGGCTTGGTTTAAGATTGGGTGAGACTTGGGGTGGGGGTGAAGCGATGACGGGCTGAAATAATGGAGAGGGTTGGGGCATGAGAATAGAGGGTAGGGTATTATGCGTGGTGGAGGGGTACTGCAGGTAAGGTTGGGTTGCTATTGTTAGGGATGAGAGAGGGGGGTAATGAAAGGGTTGCTCCGGACGACGAAGGTTGATGAGGAAAGAAAGAAGATACACGAATAAAGGAAGCGTTCCTGTGAGATTACCGTACCCCAGTACGTGATAATCAGTTGAATATGAAGAGGCTGGAATGGAGGAGTTATCGTGCAAGATGATGAAGAGAGATAAACACGAGTTTTGCGTGGCAGACAAGAAGCGATGTAAGATTCTGAACATCGTGAATAAAGGCGTAAGAGCAGGACAACAGTCACAATTAATACATGGACAAATATGGAAACAAAGACAGGCGTCATGAAGAATATGGCAGGATAGTACTATGGTAAATATAGAACTTGAAGAAGCTGGGATAGTGAGGGATTGAGGCCTTTAAATTAAACTGAGTATTACTTGACATGGTTATGACAAAAATGAAACAGCTACGTTAAAGAAACTCCCATACCAAAGAAATAACGATACTGTACACGTGTGGGACTTTGGCAACTACTAGCTTAGGACCAGAACAAGCTTACTGGCTATGTACACTATATACAACATAATCATAATACTGGATGACCCTTCCCGGTATCATCATATAAATACTCTAGCCAATACAATGTTATTGTATGGCGTAATCTAGCACCGTGTTTTGTTCATGATATGACAATACCAATCTATAGCACAATGTTTGGTCACCCAGTCAATGGCAACGCAAATTATGATGCATCAACTAGTCTAAGCCGATGATGGATGGCGCCTAAATAAAGAGATATTTAGAAACGAATAAACTTCAATGCGATGTCTCTATGACACAAGTTTGGTTTTAATTTCAGTCATTAAAACAGTTCTTTGATGTAGTACTATGACATAACATTCTGGCATTCTCATCATCTCTTCTCGCTGTGTCTCGCTGTGTCTCGCTCCGTCTCGCTTCAGCTAAGATCTGACCGGGCAAAGACGTCGCCAAAGACCGATGGTTCCAGCCTGCCCGACTGTTATTCCCCGGAGGAGTCTGGTGTGAGACAAGGTGACGGTCCATTTCCCCCTTGCTTTGGTCTCCACGTTCGCTGGTGTTCAGCATGACGGAGTAATCATCTTTGGGCGCTGTTCAGCACATTTTCATGATGTTTATTATGTCTAGCGGGACACATCATTATTAGGTTGACTGTCAACGTTTAATCTGCTTTGAAATGGTTTTGAACATATCACAGTCTTATCGGCTTGTCAATGGTTGACTGGTTGGCTCGTCATTTACATAGAAAGTTCAAAGATTTGCCATTGATGATGTAAGAATTTGAAAGTTCTCGAGCAAATTCAGCTGTAGACTTCTTGACAGGATATTCTCCAAACAAACGTTTTTAAACAGTGTAGCTGTCGCCTTCGTGAGTCAAAGGGGGAGCAACTTCTGGCCAGGGAGTCCAGAAAAGGAAGTTTGACCATCGTCCTGTTCAAGACATGTCCATCGTCTCCTCGCCCTTGACGACAACTGTCGTGTGATTGTACAACCCCTCCGCTATCAGCCGCATTGCCAGGGGGTTCTTGGAACCGGTGCTCTTCTTCAGCTTGGCACGCTTATTCTGGAACCAGATCTTTACTTGCGACTCATTGAGGTTTAGTTCTCCAGCTAATGTCTGTCGTCTCTGTTCAGATAGGTAGTGGTTGTCGTCGAACTCTTGTCGCAGGCGCTGTAGTTGTGCTGTAGAAAACGCCGTCCTTGGACGCTTGTCGTCTTGTTTTTCAGTCTTCTTGCGAGGCTTACGACATCGTGGACCTAAAACGAGAGAAAAACATTCTAAAAAATAAACCCTAGACTTTAAATAGAGGTTGATGTTTGGAATAATTACTTTACTTGCGTAAATAGACCAAAAACAATAAGTATGCAATGTTATCGTAAATGTTAGATGCTTTAGGTGTGTTAAACTTTATATATATGTTTTTCTTAAATATCTTGATGCATGTACTAGTATCATGAATATATATATATATATATATATATATATATATATATATATATATATCTCTCTTAGCCAGTACGTTATTCATATAGATGGTAATTTAAGTTTATTTAAAGTTACAACAACATTAAATTAACATTAATATATTTTATAATTATAATAATAAATAAAATCCACAAAAACATTTCCAGAATCAAATGAAATCTCTATCTCAAGGCCTTAAGAGTTTCATATTTTTATAAATGTCACAAAAGCAAGCATAAAATAAAAGAGACAAATATAAAAAGCTACACAACGAGTAAATATGAAGTTTAATGTCCTTTAATACCGAAAGGAAAGGGGATTATATAAGGCATATTGACCAATATGATAATACGCGTTTAGGTAACTATTTTCTCTTTATGTATCAATAATCGATAAAACCATATTTCTCTTCCTTTTATTTCCCGCAACCTCCTTTTCAACACATTGAGTTACATTCCGAGTAGTTCTTTCCCCGACACGCGACTAGCCACCAAACAAACTTCACGGGAAGTTTTAAAAACGATCACTTTTAACTCCCGCTGAATTGCACAAAACCACTGAGATCATCAATTTTAGCAAGGAAACGTCCGGGACATGAACATAACGGTATAAGCTTGACAAATGTTAACCCATTGAAGAAGCGATAAATGTTTGGGTTAGAAAGAAAAACAAGTTAAACATATTAAATGAGGCGGACCAACACGTCGCGAGAAAACCTCTCCCAAGTCGGACTCGACGAGAGTTTCATTTCTGGGTGAACCTGAGACATATTTGTCGAAGCTGGTGTTGCGGAACAAACTTCACGCTTTACTGGGGAACATACGCAATCATTAAAGCTGATCAACTTGATAAATATTTAGGTAGGGAGAAAGAAGCTGATAACATAGGGGTATGGTTTCTTTTGAAACTTTTGAATGATTTTCTCAGACTGAATGGAAGTTAAAAGCTTGCTTTCTGGTGGAATATAGTTTCATTCATAATTTAGACACACAAAATTAGTTGGAAATACGGAGAATTAAGAGTGTCACTTGACATTTGTTTTACATTAGTTTTTTACACATATTGACGAAAAATAGACATTTTTGTAAACGGGTTTAGGCTAGAGCGTGTTTGGAATAAAACGTTTCAAAGCGTTGTGCATGTGTAGAAGAGGTTTGAGATAATATTCTAAATCAAAATCAGAAATTATTTCAAGACCAAACTATTTTCAAAGTTATAATTTTTAAACAGCAGAAAAACGGCGTTTCAACTTATTATTTTTAAAATAATGCATAGGCGTTGTCATGTTGTACTTATTATGAATAATAATATTTAAACAAATTCAAAAATATTCACCTGATGATGGTCTGTCTGAATAGCGAGTGCAGAAAACCCAGGCCGGCAGTTCGAGTTTACCGGGGGATGCGGTTCCTCCCTTGGGCTTGGTCACTCTCTTGGGTGAGGAGCTCTCCGGTGTCATCACACATCTTGGCGACAGTGGGGGTGGAGAGGGTGTCGTTGACACCCGTCTTCCAAAGTCAGGTTTGAGAATTTCATCTATGCTAAAATTTGTAATTTTTTTGCAAGGTCCGAGTGGCTGTTCGATCTCTGACATTCCTGCTTCTCTCTTAATCTCAAGTCCGACCACCATTGTGAGATATTACAGTGGGATTGTCGTGCAGAAGCTGAGACGTCGCAATGTGTACGGGGAAGTTCGTCGTACGCTATTTCATATAGCCGTGGTACACTATGAGGGCGGAGCCTAGGGATGGCTAAGTGTCGGAACATCGACCAGTGAAAACCGCGCTTATCGAATGATCCCGCCCGCCTGGGGGAAGTGACAGCTCATCCTATCACGGGGCTCGCGAGAGAAGCGGTAGTAGACTGTTCCCATATTAGCGTCAACACTGGCCGAAAAACACTTCATCAATCAATTTACCAATCGGAACTTTGATGTCTGGGGCTAATACAAAGATATCGCGACCAGGCGGGAATGATGTCTCGAGGGTTCGGGGATATTTGCTCAACTCTCTCACTTAAACGCTACACCTTGATCCAGGCTTGCCCAGAGCGATTGAACGTATCTATTTGCTTGTCTGTATATTTACCTGAACTTCTGTAATTGATCAGTGATCCTGAGTCGACCTTGTTCAATGATTAATTGATCTGTTATTGGCAATTCCAGGCCCGGCAGACGATTTCCAATCCAATTGTTACACGTCCCCCTTTCTCTCGCGTCTCAGACAAATGAGCCGATGGGAAGTGCAATTATCGAGCTCCTCTCTGCTGATGACTGGAATTACATGCGGGAATTTTCAAATGTTTAAATATTTAACAGATTTAATAACAGTGTTTCCGGTTACTAATGTCAACTTTTCAACACGGATCAGGCAAAGAAAATCAACAATCAATTCTCGCCGTGGGAATAAATCTGAACGTATAGCACAAACCATCACAGCCGTCTGCAAGGTATACACAGAGTTGAGAAACCAAATATGTTTGAAATAATATAACTTCACTTTTATAGCAGTAAATGCTGTCTTTGTTACAAATATCGACTATGTTGTTCATTTGCATAGATATGTTCTGTTAATGAAAGTAAATTGAAAGAATAGCGCGACTTGAAAGAAAACATTTTTATATCATTCTATTTTTATCAATACATGACCAATACAATATTTTCTATCATCCTTCTTTTTTTATTGAGGCGTTAACAATGTTAACATATTTATTCCCTACATTTTAAAAATAAAGCTACTATCTCAAAAATAAACAAAACACAGGTTGGTGTTGAAAAATACAAAGACAAAAAAAGACAAAACCTTTCAAATTCTGTCATTGTAAGAACAAGAAGCATATTTATTAAAATAACATCAAGCACTGTAATGCAAGTATAGTTAACACACGTAATTAAGCAGGTGCTGTAGAAATATATTGTAAACACTTTTGTGGGAATATGTGAGGTGCTGCTATTATAGATACAGATGCTCCTCTATAAGCTATCAGACGAACAGGACACATGTATAATAGATTTCCTCGCATTCTGGTCCGTCTGGGTTGCCCATCTAATATATCACTGTTTGTCCAGTAATGGCGTGAAATCAGCTCATTATGACAGTCTCAGACAAGAAAACTGCATTAGAAGAAACGGTCATATCCGGCACGTTCTGTCCATGCTGGTGACCCGTATCTAATGACGTCACGCTGTCTTGCAGGTCACATGATAACAACATGTTGTATGGTGTTGTATTGATCAGACTTACATATGTTGTTAACCCTTCGATGATTCTAAACCAACTTACGTGTTCTTTGCAAATGATGATGTAAACAAACGATATCTTGTAACGAATGAAATGTTGTACGCTAAAACCATTGGAATATATTCATGAATTGTTTTGGGGTGAGGTGAAATAAGGTTTAACGTCGCGTCCAAGATTATTGCACTTATATAGAGACGTGCATACCGTAGCCGATCATGAATACCCCAATATACCATGCGACATGCAGGGTAACAACCAGTACCCTCTTTTGACGTCGTTTTGTATGACGCGGCCGGGGATTGAACCCCGGACTTTCCGCTCTTCGGGTGGACGCTCTACCACCAGACCACGAGGGCGGTCTTGAATTGTTTTTACTACTACTACTACTACTACTACTACTACTACTACTACTACTACTACTACTAATACTACTGCTACTGCTACTACTACTACTACTACTGCTACTACTACTACTACTACTACTACTACTACTACTGCTGCTGCTGCTGCTGCTACTACTACTACTACTACTACTACTGCTACTACTACTACTACTACTACTACTGCTACTACTACTACTACTACCATTCGCTGTCTGGGCTGCGTGTAGAGGTGTCAAGGGCCCTGAGCTGATGATGAGCCTAACCAACCTGACTGTGCGAGTATCACCCAAACCCTCTTCACTGCATTTTTAAAATATTTAATTTATAAATATTAATAATAATAATTCTGAACATACTTCTGAAAATACATCAATATGTTTAGGGTTTATGATATCATTATTTTTATTATTATATATATTATTATGTATAATGTTATCATTCGTACCTAATAAAAACTTATGTCGACGTTGACATTTTACTTGTTATCATTGTCATTTTATTATCTTCCTTCGAATTAAGGAAATTTCTTAATAAGGACATGTTCGCAAAAAGAAACCAATGCTGCTCGAGAATGATAGCTACCTTTCATCACAGAGGAACAATAACAGAGAAAGAAAAAACCGCAAAATAGTCATGTACATGCAGCTTACACGACACAAGACATTTTCTACAAGAAGCCTCTGGCCAAGGTTTTCTGATCCAGTGGCGGGTGTAACAATTATTTCTTGGACATGAGGAATATTGCCCTCATCAAGATAGACAGACCAATTACAACCATGAAATCAAAGCGACATCCAGCCTTTAATTAAAGCGAAATGAGGAGATCCGGTTCTTTTGACTACATTTACAAACATGAATCGCGTGGCGATGTCTAGAGAAAATACCACACATAACGCGGATCACACAACAAGAAGGGCGTTCTTCCATTAGGCTGTTAGCACGCCATTTAATGTTCTTTGACGGTCGTGCAATTCCACAAGTGTAACAAAGTGTAACTCAATTCAACAATGTGTGACAGGGCAGTGATGACGATTGGCTAATTACAACTTCAAAGGACGCCGCGGTAGGAGACAGTGGTTCCCTTGACTCATCCAGTAGGCCTTCAGCTGTTCTCCTCCGTCTCTTCCGGGTCACACACGATTGAGCTATGAACTCCTAATGATAGCTTATTTCTGAACGAAATTAGCCCATTGACTCTTATCTTAAAACGATCAGGCATTTATAAAATGATTGATATTTCTGTTGCACTGGTTATGATATATCTTTCGAAAATATCGTCAGTAAACGTGACTGTAGTAATTTTGCTACAAAATATATCAGTTCCTAATGTAGCTGTATCAGTTCCTAATGTAGCTGTCAATAAATATTGTAGTTCGACAGATCAGATGAAGAACCTTGAATTCGACTCGACAAATGCTGAGTATGATGTGCTGTACTCCACATCTTCCTCGACTGTTCGTTAATAATATTTTAATCCATCAATACATCAAGATCCCAGCTTTCTGCTGGACATTTTTTTTTATCAAATCTCAAGCAAACGTTTTCATAAAGTGTTTCTCCCGAATGTTCCAGAACTAGATCTATTCATTAGATATCCCTTTCATTAAACGCACTGCGACCCATCATGTCGCAAGTAATGTTGCTTTCCCTAGCATCGTCTCTTGTGCAGTATCTTGTGTCAAAATTCATTTGAACAACTTCCATAATTTAACATATACACTTACACAAACCACACATTTCTATATTAAATGGGACATATGTAAATGATTTGAAAACAGAAAATATGCTTCACAAATGGCTACAAGTATATATATTTATACAGATTTTCGCTCCTTGAGTGTATACATCTCGGAAGGATACAATGCAGATGCATGCTACTCTTACTTACTCACTCAACTTCCTACTTTATCTTTAGCTACGGCACATACTTCCCAGTCTAATAAGTGGTGTACGACTTGGAGGTTGCAGGTACTCGTGTTAACATCTACCTTTAACATGAATTACGTTGTCATATGGCTACTTTTCTCCATGCCTATGCAATAAGGCCCATTGCACTGGCAATAAACAGCTACTAAAGCGCACTCGAGAAACACAACTGCAAGTGATATTTATTTCTTGTCTCCCGGAAAACATGGAACACTGTTCTACATATCGAAATATTGAAACGGAGAAAAGGCTTAGAAACAGACCCAAACACTAGGTTGTCAGGTTTCAATTTCCTTTTTAATATTTTTTAAACTGTGACATAGACAGAACCAAATGAAAAAAGCTTGGAGCAGAGTTCTGTTCGAGCACAAAGGGTGATTCACGGTTTTATTGTTTTGCGGACAGATGTAAATGCGCCAGGTGAAATAATAGGAAACAATGATAGGAAATATACCCCCTCGCCCTTTGGTTATCCGATCAAGTTGTAGATTACAGTGTAATTGTCCAGTTAATATCTCCATGGTGGTCGGCAGGATGGCGCACTGTAAACATATGGTGCTTTTCGCGTAGCAATAAAGTTAATGCGTTCCTGAATTCGTCAATTTTCTAGATTTGAGGTGAAGGTAACCGCCAAATTATACGAAAATAAAATGGCGATATTCTCAATTATTTAATTCGTCATTAGAATGATAAAACGCCGGTCTAACCGACGATAGGTATTGGATAAAAGTCAAGGTATTGTTCATTGTTTATGTGCAGTCTTCAACAGGTTGTATCTTGATTAAACGACTATGTTGTTTAAGTGCCGTGTTATATATTTGCATTGTAAATATCACATAAACAGATTTAGTTTCCAGTGTGTTTGTGTGTTGGGGACGGATTTAGGTCTTTACTGCTCGGCGCTCGGAGTTAATTACAAGGGAGGTAAATTGGTTAGCGGAGTGATATGGGCGAAGAAGAGACGTGATAGCGTTGTTTAACTTGAGATCTCCGACAGACACCACGTGATAGGCCTGATTGCTTTCTCTGTCGTTTCATGTATTCTGTGTTTACACACGAAAACAACAACCCGACTTGTGTTAAAAAAGCACGGGGCTAATTAAGAGCTTGTGGAAGTCAAATTTCCAATTCACTGCAAAAAA